AACCGCCGCACACAGGACCTCCATCGTGTCTTCAATGAAGCAAGATGGCCGCGAACTCCTCCTCCAAGTCCTCAGTCATCTGCTCCATTCTGACCTCTTCTCCCGCTGATTGGCCGATTGGATGATTGACAGGCTTCCTCACCAGTCAGGAGTGACTGGTGAGGAAGCCTGTCATCATCCAATCGGCCAATCAGCGGGAGAAGAGGTCAGAATGGAGCAGATGACTAGGCTGTGACACGGAGTGGCTGAAGCAGACGGAGAAGACGACACAGCAGGTTAGTACTGCCGCACCTCATGGGGCTGGGCACAAAAATGCTGTTTACCGGCATATATTATTAAAAAAAAAGAAAATAACTATGTAGATATTGCTAACTAAGGCTTGTATCCCCCTAGTGGTGAAAATAGATGAGCACATGTCCAGACTGCAGACCAGAACACAGTGTGGCACAGCTATATCCAATTCTGCATACCTGGCTTCATATTATAAGAAAATGTAATAAGAATATAAAGCCAGTTATACAGAATTGGATACAGTTGTGCCACACTATAGTGTTCTGAACTCTGGACATGTGCTCATCTATTTTCCCCACTATGGGGATAGAAGCCTTAGTTAGCAATGGCATGGTAAATATTAATTTAGTCAGTCTTTTTTTAAATATTATAAATGTTATAATATTAAAAAAAAGACATTGAATAATGAAATGAATATTTATCATGCCATTGCTAACTAAGGCTTGTATCCCCATAGCGGGGAAAATAGATGATCACATGTCCAGACTTCAGAACAGTGTATTATTGTGTAGTGTGGCACAGCTATATCCAATTCTGCATACCTGGCTTTATATTATAAAGTTCTTATAATATAAAGCCAGGTATGCAGAATTGGATTTAGCTGTGCCACACTACAGAGTGTTCATGTTCTTCATAATATTAAGAAACTGACCTAAAATCATGATTTTGTATTGCTTTAGAAAAAATTTGACCTGTCCCTTTAAGAAAAAGTATCAGTAATTGGTATCGGCGAGTATTTTAAAAAAAGTATCGGTACTCGGCCTTAAAAAAGTGGTATTGGTGCATCCCTATTGAAAACTAAATGTTTCAAAATGTTACTAATAAACCTGATTTGTAATGGGGGTTGAATCATTTTGATTAGGGCTGTGAAAATTAAATTTTTGATCGATTCAAATTATTTCGATCGCTAATGAAAACACTCACCCCTCCGCCGGCCCTTCCGCAATCCGGTGACATCACGGACATCGATGTCACCAGACTCCTCCCCCTTCCCCAAGTGGCTCCGTCGGCTAACGGCTAACGAAGGGGGAGGAGTCCGGTGACGTCACCGGCCCCCCCCCCCCTTCGTTAGCCGACGGAGCCAATTGGGCCGGTGAGTTTGCCCAAGAAACTTTCTGCACGAGTGCCAGCCAAGGCATTGGCCTATACACATGCAGCACAGCAATGAAGTAATAAAATGAACTAGGATCACACTAATCCAGCACGTTATTATTCCGAGTTGCCCCACTCAAGCGGCGGCCATATTGAGTGGGGCACGTGAGATTAATAACGTGCTGGATTAGTGTGATCCTAGTTCATTTTATTACTTCATTGCTGTGCTGCATGTGTATAGGCCAATGTAGTTGGATCTGTATGTGCGTTATAATTAATCGAAATTAATCGATTTTAAAAAATTTGATTAATCGAACACAAACATTTTAATCATTACCAGCCCTAATTTTGATTACAACTGTATGCTGCACAATGCTATACACTGTGTTGTCTACATTATATACTTCACATCTCTTCTATCTGTAGGCTGTGTTGTACAACATACAACTTCATACTGCTGCACTCTGTACACTATGCTATACATTACTCTGTACTATATGTACACTGTGCTCTACATTTTATACTCAAAATTGTGTGTATCTTCCTGCACTCCTTACCGGATCTCCTAGGAGATGATGTCTGTAATAGGGTGCTTGTAGCGACCACGGAGGCACCGTGTAGTCAAGTAGTAATTCCAAAAGATGTCACCAGCACTCCAAAAGTAGATTCAATATATTTTAATGACAACGGTCCTAAAATATATTGAATCTACTTTTGGAGTGCTGGTGACATCTTTTGGAATTACTACATTTTATACTCGGCACCAATCTGTACACTTCTGTACACTCTGTACAGCACAATGCACCACTATCCCTGTGCTGTATATTCTGGGTTGCACACTGCCCAGCTGCGTACACTATATACTTCACATCACTTCTTTCTGTACACTGTGCTGTAAAATATACAGGTCACAATGCTTCACTCTATGCACTCTGCTGTACATGACATACCCCACACTACTTTGTACATCCCATACTCTGCACTGATCTTTTCATTGTGCTTCACAATATATACAGTATGTCACCCTGTCCCACTCTTTATGCCGTGATCTACATTCCTCACATCACCACTGTTTACAATGTACTGTTTATTGCATGCTCTGTATTATACACTCTGTTGTAAGGTACACACTCCACACCTACTCACTGCCCCCTCCTAAGACTCAGCAGATTGCAATTACTGTCATCACCCATTTTACTGGCCTTATGAAGCCAGATAGGATTGGGCTCCATAGCATCTGACTGTCTGTTCTAGCTTTCACTGTATCCTTGTCATACAACAGCTGCTCCTGGGTTATGTAAGCACTGAGCAGGAATTCCAGAAACCCTCTCTCCCCATTATCTCTATCACTGGAGAATTCCTCTGCCTTTTCTTTCCTTTGTAGTCTACTTCTCATTTTCTAATTTAGCTACAATAATGTGATTGTTCTGTTAGATGTACCTCCGCTGACAGTAATATATGCCCTTCTCTCCTGTGATTATCATAATTAGGATCCCTCTTCTCCCTCCACTGTTATATTCTTATTTCTTCATTACATCCCCATATTCATTCCCAAGGGTGTCAATGGAAATTCTTTTCCAGGCAATCATCCCTATATACTTAAAATATGTTCTGATATAAATAACTTGTACAGCATGTTAAGCTTAGCAACACATACATACAAGTGTTACATTACAGTGCTTCTTTCTCCCCATTTTCCTATCACACTTATAAAGTGTATTTCGGTGGGACAGTACTCATTGTAGAGAGACTGCAAGATTATAGGACAATTGTTGTGAGGGAAATATGAAGTTCGATATTGTGGATATTCTTCTGCAAATTGATCATTATTTTTAAAGGCAACATTTTTGACACATTGCTATTGCCACTCCCTGAGCAGCACTGTTGATTGGAGCAGCGTGCAGGTCTTTGGAGACCCGGCTTGCTGCACTGCATGTCAGAGAAAAGGTCCGACTCTACAATAGAAAACCCTAGTTCACCATCTCTACCTGGCTTTAAAGTTGTCTGACCCTGAATAATGTTTCCACTCTTTTTGCTCTTTTCGGGTTTATTGGGCTACATTATGGACCTCTTCCCTTGATTGCACAAGCTTTGTGTTTAAGACACACCTTCCTCATCTGCTGCCATGTCTGCTGTTTTGCAATTGCTGTGTAGCAGCTAGATCTTCCAGGTTGGCAGGCCACATCTGAGACACTCTGGACCAGAAGTGACATTGTGACTGCACCACTTGAGTCACTGGACATGGCATTATAACAGCAAAGGGGAAGAGGAAGGGCTTGTTTGGTGCCGTTGGACGCATTTAAACCTAAACTGTGCCCACCCCCCCAAACATTGTCGGCTACTTCCACTCTCCACCTGCATTATTTCCTGCTATTATCTTGGTACTGTACCACTATCCATTTACACAGATGATCTCTCTATCTTGCCACTTTGAGAGTTATCCTTGCTGTAATATAGGTGAGAGTTGCATTTTGTCTAGCTCAGTGAATGGGATGGTGAGATCTTTTGTATATATATCACAATGTGTGCGCTTTGTGCAATGAAGCTGATGATATCTGCTGACTTTTATATTACTAACTGTTGCTTTACTGGGGGATTTGTAAGGAAACCCTAATTCATAGTTTCCAACATGTTCCTTTGGCAAAAGCCGATTGACTTCTGCTGCAGGAATAGGGCCATCAATGGAGAAAATTTCAGCTGATTCCTGCTGAATCTGCCAAAATTTGCTCCGAATGTATCTGGCTTAACTGCAGGAGGCTAATACCAGGTCTAGTGAGGAGGTAACTGACAGTTACCTCCTCACTAGATAGAGATGACATTAATTAATTGTACAATGCAAAGGCTTGAGAAGGAGAGGCGACACAGGGAACCTGTTCAGTGTGCATAATACAATGTTACATAGTACAGTGTGCAAGTACATAAATCCTATAACCGGCCTAGAAGAATTAAGAACCCTTCAGCAGGGAAACCATAAACATGTATTTCCACTGTGTATTGAACTGTTAGCCTGGAGATTTACTTTTCAGCCTGTTAAGTAATATAAGCAGCAGCGTGTTGGGAACTGTGGTGGCTTCTCCAAGTTGCTACCCCAGTGGGGAACAAATAGGTCATTCCTAATTTATGTATATGCATACAAAAGAGAGAGATTATTTGTGGAGGTCTCTGTATGTTCAAATCGTTACAATTTGTTTCACCAAATCATTTAAATTGGGGTTCACGCAGAGTACAGAACACTATAATTTGCCCACAACTCTTATTCTAAGAAAACCAAACAAAAGAAATTTTAAAACTGCCATCACTTCTCCTCGGCTTCAACTACCAACCCGCATGAAAATCTCGAATATCCCAATAACAATAATGACGACAATAATAATAACAGTTCTGTCATATAGATTTATAGAACTGTACGTGCATTTTTTCAGTAAGACGTTGGCAGGTGCTACAGACCAAATGTGACAAATGTCAAGAACAAAAAGCCCAATGAATCACGGCGCTAACTACGCTTCCAGCTTAATCACCGAAACAATTCACACACACAAATTGTTCTTTTGTTTTTTTGGCTCGCTAAACATACTAATTGGAAAAAAAAAAAAAATCAAGGAAAACACCACAAATAGTAATGGGTGAAAACAACTTGCTATGTTTATTGCTTCTTAATGGGATTCATGGGATCTGAGTTTTTTCCTCTCAGGAAGTGTACTTGGCCGCAGCTCCTCAGGCCCATGTGCGTAAGGACACTTGGCGGCGGCACGAGGGCAGCCATTCGGGTGGTTTACATAAAACCAGCAAAGTCTTGTTTTTAAAACGTCGGGTAACAGTCTTTTTTTGGCTTCTGCTTTGATTTTGTTTGACGGAGCTTTCTCATCTTGGCTCCAGTCGCGTATAGAAACCCTGGAATTCAGAACTGCAAAATAAAGACAATGCAGGAATATAATTAAAACTGTTGACAAATTTAAAGTGACACTAAACTCAGGAGTTAAATCTTTAAAATACATTAAAGTACCTCAACTATTAACAAAAAGGTATTTTATTTGTGTATCCCTCGGCTGTAGATCCTCAAATCATCTCTGAATTGGTGCTGACACTGTCCTTCCTTCTGGAGGGTGACTACTTTTGTTCCCTATAGTCCCTGTCTTTGTCGTAAAATGGGTCACCACTCCAAGCTCACTCCTGTGATGGACTACAATTTCACATTTAGTTTACTCATTTGTATTGAGACTGTAGTCCAGCAGGACCCTTTTTCCCGCGGATGTCGCACAATTTTTCTATTTTTTGAATGCAGCCCGACGGTGAAGGTCGCGCGATCTTTGCTGGACCGTCACCCCGAACAGTCGCACTATCACAGCCCCGCTTGTAAGGTATGTCGCTTGGTGTGAATTGGGGCCTAAGGCAGTGATGTTGAACGTTTCTTAAACCCGAGCGCCCGAACTACAATACAGTACTAAACTTATTTTCAGAGCTGGCACTTTAAGGTAAATAAATTGATTTTGCGTCGTAGTTTGGGCACTCTGGTTCAAAAAGGTTCGCCATCACTGCCTTAGTCTGATGACCAGCATCATGCAACCCACTTGAGCTCAGGTCATCTTGGACCACCCCAACCTTTATTAAACTGCCCCAGCTTGTAATTGGACAGTGAATGGAGAAGCAGCACAGTGATGGGCTCATCTGTCTGTCACTCTGCTCTCTCCCATCAGCATGCTTCTTGTCAGCACATAAACTGATTGGCTGCCTGTGATTCTACTTCCTCTCACACTCCAACCTTGCTGTACAGTGAATGGAAGAGGAGGAATCTATGTCACATTCAGGTACTTACACGGCTTGTATTTAGAAATACATTTAGTGATGTATTATCCATTACAGAGCAGCATTAATGATTGTCTTTTAGATCTGCCTACAGCTGGTCTTTAAAGCCTCCCAAATCCTATCACAGCCGGATCTTGAATAGTCCTGACAGGCCAGGTTTTGGTACTTCTGCGAGGTGTCAGAACATGCTGCTAAGCCTCATCTTATACACATAAATATCGTCCCGTCACTTTGATTGGGGGCCTCATTGGCCAGTAGGAATGTCTGCAAGGGAGAAAAGGACAGGCAAGCTTCGCTCTATCCAGAAGTGTTCAAACCAGTGGGGACTTGGCCAAAATGAGAGGGTTTTGGGGGACTGCCATAGGTACATACTGGAATCTTATTCTCCCAAATCTGAGCCTGTGGATATTTAGGCCAGCGTGCTTCCTTCCTTGTTCATGCACTGCTCGCTCTCAGAGCTCACAGCAGCCTTACACAATACACTGGAGTATTAGAGCTGTTCATCTTAGTCTGCAGAATTGTGTGGTAAGAAGCTGAAACCCAACCTAAAAGCAATGTCAGAAGCCTGATCAATCTAGTTGCAAAGTTAAACATATAATATGTGGACTTTGAATTCAGCACACCTACAAGGTTACCCGAGCAGAACAAGCTGTCCGCCAATTGATTCCTATTGTTGGCTAGATTTGCTGCCTAAAGGTGGACCTTTAAAGCAGAACTTGAGGGAAAATGATTAAGGATTAGGAGCTCGTTTGTGTCTATGTCCAGCGTTGACTGCTGTGTCTTCTGTGTCCCACGGAGTCTGTGCGGGTGCACGCTGCCGGGCTGCCTGCATTGACGTACTCTGTGTCTCTCCTCTTCTCCTGGCCAAAGATCTCTACTGCGCATGCGCCCGCCCCATAATCCTTTGCAGGCGCCCGAGAATCTTCAGATCTTTGGACGGGAGCGCACGGGGGAGAAACAGGTACATTTTAACCTTTTTGGTAACTTCTTATTTTTTTTGAATGTTTTTGCATATATCTACGGCTTGCTAGCAGTAGATACATGCAAAAAAACCCCAAGGGTTTAATTATCCTTTAACAGGCACTAGAAGCTGCATGACTGTCATCTCTGAGTCAATGGGGTTCATTTACTAAAAGCAAAAGGGCTGCACACTTTTCAAGGGAAGTGCCTCTTACCTTAGTGAATGAGGTGAAGTTATGTGGACTTCCATCAATCATGAGCAAGCACAATTCCTGTTTTTTTTTTTTCTATTTTCCTGACACATGATTGGGTATTCTTTGCAAAGTGAATTTTCAAAACATTCACCAAGCTAAGGGAAATTTATCTTGCAAAGTGCAAATTCTCAGTCTAGAAAGTGGATGCCAACCCTGAATTTTGCCTATATGAAGATGGCGCCATCCTTTGCAAGAAAACAAAACAGCTGAAGCAATTGCTAGATGAGTATTGTACTCTGAGAGGCAATAGATGCCTGGAAGTGTTACACTCGTACATTACGTAGCATGCACTAGCATTAAAAAATAGATGTGATGCTATGTCCACTTTAAGGAGTTGCAGAGATCACAGGTCACCACACATCCCTTGTGTGCCTAGTTCTCCTGACTTCAAGTGCAGTGCCATGCGATAACGGATCATAGACTACACCTATAATGGCAATATATGAATGGGATTAATCCACTTTAGATCGATTATTACAATGGGGAATCTAAATAATTGAGATTGGGGGAAAAGGAGTGGTGGTGGTTCTAATTAGCTCCAGAAAAAATACAACATTCAGTAACATGTAAGCCATGCAGATTGCCACTGTAGGGGAAATGTAAGGAACTCAGCTCAGGCTTCCTTTGTGCATTTCTAATGTGAGATGTGTTGTTCACACAAGACATGTCACATACTGTATACAAAACCCTAGCATTGTGCTTTGTAGCTGGCATGCAGGTGTCAATATGTTCGCAGTCATTCAGTTCGAGAACAATCTTATACGTCTACTTCGCAATTTGAAAGAAAAGATCCAAGAAAAACAAATTTGATTGTGAAATGAAAGTTTACAAAAGTGGCCCCTGGGATATCTTTCACATGGAAACAATCACATTAAACTGTACAGCAGCTAGAAGACGTTTGTAAGCCCTCAGAAAATGTTTAATTGTTTTCATATCATCATCTTCATCTAAACTTTAAAAATACACACAAAGTTACAAACAGGAAGGAAAATGTTTAACAATGTGATATTTTTGTTAAGGAAATGTTTTAAAGGAAAACAGTCATGCAAAAATCAGGAGGCTGCCATTCCCTATAGCTCGCGGTATACTGAGACCGCCACAGCTGGGACAGATCCCGACATTACTGGCGAGATCCACCCAGCTGCGCGAGTGACAGCGGGATCTGCCTATCTAGAGGCAGAGCCAGCTGTACCCGCCCCCTCCCCTGTCCGTTTCGCCAGTCAGCGCTGGAGGATCGGAGAGGGGAGGGAGGGGAATCCCTGCAGGGAGCGGTGACTGACAATCACGGCTCTCTGCAGGGACATGATCAAGAAGTGAGCGAGCGACGGTATGTGTTCGCTCACTTCCCGATCTATTGAGCCGACCTGTGACAGTTTCATTGTCACACGTCGGCTCGATATATGAGGATGAGTGATTTTCACTCACCTCATAGTTCTAGTTTAAATTTTAAAAATGCATTCTAGTACCTTAACTATTAACAAAAATGTATCTTATTTGTGTATCACTCGGCTGTAGATCCTCAAATCATCTCTGAATTGGTGCCGACGCTGTCCTTCCTTCTGGAGGGGGGCCACTTTTGTTCCCCATTGTCCCTGTGTGTGTTGTAAAGTAGTCACCACTCCAAGCTCGCTCCCATGATGGACTACAATCTCACATTGAGTTTACGCATTTGTATTGCGATTGTATTGTGATATGCTTTTCTCTTTTTTTTTTTCCATTTGGCCTGGCCATTTACTAGCAGGCCAGATAAAAAAAAAATGCAAGGGTCTCATTGTTCATCATGAAAAAACATGAGTCTAAGGGGTCTATTCACCAAGCTGCCGAGGGCAGCCGAGTGAATGACCGATCTGAAGTGAAGTGAGCCGAACACTGTTCGGCTATTCACTTCAGGCTTGTACGGCTGATTTCAGCCGTATATCGGCTGAATCAGCCGTACATCGGCTTGCTTCGAGTGGCTTCGGGTCGGCCGAACATGCTCAGCATGTTCGGCCAACCCGAAGTGCAGAAGGAGTTCGACTCAGCC